GGTCTTGCTTGCTGCGGATGTTAGGGCGTGGGTAGGGGCTAGGGTTGGGAGCGGTTGGGGCGTGGGTAGGGGCTAGGGTTTGGCGCGGCGCCAGCACTCCTGCAATTGTTGAAAAGTGGAAAGTGGCAAATGGTGGAAAACGTGCTGGCGTCGCGCCAAACCAAGCTTCACCCTCTGACATGTCCCAGCATCCTCACCGAACGAGATTGTAGCTAACTAAGAAATTGATAAATTTCTGTAATACAAGTTCAGCCTACAATCCGGCGACAACCTTATGGTTAGTCATTGCGACGCGAGCCATACTGATTTTGACAATGGATAGGAAGGATGTTTCTAATTGATTCTGACCTTTGCGATAAAATCTGCTAACAACATGAGCCTGGATGGATTGAGGACGTCGAAGGGTGGTCGACTGAAGAACCGATCCACAACAATCGACAACGAAGTGTTGCTCAGTGTTCGTAGTATAGGTCGTGGCACTCGCATTGGTTCTGAAAGAAGACTTTCTGAATTGAAAAAAAAGTTTCGCGGCGTCATGAAGGCGAAGAGCTATGACAACAGTTGCAGGTGTGTTCCGGCATGGTCGACCGCTTCGTAAGTTTCGTCAATCAGTCTCTTTTTCAAAAACTTCAATCACCTTCTGTATCAGCTTGTTCAAGTGCTGATCTGGAATCTCCTGTAGAAGGCGTAAATCTCCATGCACGCCCTCCCATTCCTGAAGCGCTCCCACCATCTGGCTGCCTTCCTTAAAGGCAGTATTCACAATGAAGCTCAAGCTTCAGAGCTTTCACTGGTGCGGTCAATTCGCTACAGTTTTTGCTCCATCTAACGATATCGTAAACAGTACACAACTTCTTCGATGCCGATGCTGAGGTGTTTCAATGGGGTTGGTTTGGCACGACGCAAACCAGCCTTCCACCAACTGCGGTCAACTGCTAGCTTCCACAATCAGTGGAGAAAAGGCTGGCGCCGCGCAAAACCCAGCCCACTGAAGCGCGCAGATTCCGCTGCGAATAACACGTTATCTGAATAGGGAACACTTCAAACAGGGCACCGTAAAGTGATGTGTGAAACAGCGGTGCCAGTACTACTTCCACCCCCCCCCCCTCCCAATTTCGCTCATCTGGTATGACCCCCTTTCCTACCTACCTAGAATCTTCTTAAGGCAGTTGGCACGATAATCCCCAAGACGAGTAGGATTGATACGCCTGGCAGGACGGAATTCCGCGACCCTGAGCAGGCGCTGCGTAGCGCCTTTTTCAAGGAAGGTACCCTTATAAGGCCCTATCAAGCTACAACATACCGACTTGAACGCCCGCCCGCCCACAAATACTTGCTCGTATGGCTTCTGGCTAAGTAAAATATGAAACGAAGGGACTGGTATGAAGCGGCTGCGGTGCTGCATGGATATATGAGTACACAGTGCAGCCGTACCTACCGCAGCGGTTATTGGCAAGATGCCTACGGGAAACTCGTCCGAAATTATTTCCTGAGTCATGAAGAACGAAGGCTTTTTTCGCAGGTTTTTGACCGTTTCACTTCGTTTTTTCGCCATTTTCCCCGCTATAAGCACCTTACTAGCATTTTAGGCCGAGTACCAAATTATCGTGCCAACTGCCTTCAAGTTTTTCAACTTTCTATCTCCTCTTTAACGGAACGCTTCACAAATGATTCATTTGCACATTTGCCCTCCAAACTTTGTGGGTCATTAATTTTTAGACAATTTAAATGAAGCTGATAGTCCATACATATTATATACTTTTTAGCTTACCATGCAGTTTGCAAGCTGTAATATCTCCCTGGTTGAGCATTCTGACTCGTTCACAGCTTTTAGCCGCATCACTCACGCAACCGCACTTGAGCGATGAGCTTTTGAAGCAAAAACTGAAATAATTCTGTTAACAAACATAGAAAGCGTAAAAATAAGAAGATAGTGATGTATAAAATGAGGCGGAGTTAGTGTACTGGCAAGTAGCGCGATTGCGACGCGGTGCAGCTTGGTCTGCCTGGGGGAGCCAATCCGTGGTCCTAGTTCAGGATTGGCTGCCTTCCTCAAAGCGACCAAGCCTTCTGTCTTCTTCCGTGGAGGATAAATTGGTAGCATATTTGTCTGGTAGGATAAAACACCGAACTGAACATCGCCGCCCCGCAAGGTCATTAAACAGAGCGGCCATATCTCACTCAATAAGCCACTAGACGATTCTGAAGTAGAATGCTTGGCGCATCCTAGAAAGGGACTGATCAACCCGCACAGCTGTAATACAGCTACTATTTTTGCTATTTCTGACAGGTGAGATCGGTAGTTGATCGACGACGACTCCTTCCCCCCCCCCCCCCCAGTAGTTGTGTTTTCGAACAAACATGGGAAACTTTTTGAAAAGTTGGGAGAAGTGGTTGGCAGTTGAGAAAACGCAGGAACATGGTAGGCAGAATGAGGAAAATCGGAGACAGGGGGAGGTCGTACCAGGGAGAGAAGCTTGGGAGAAACTCTCTCATTCCGATGCTGTTCCCAAGTACGAGGTTCGTATTAGACTGCTTTTTTCGGTCTCACTGGAACACATGGTTGCCGCGTTACAGGTGGAACAGGCGTGATGGGCACCAGGCTGTACATCTGCTTGACAATTTGTAGTAGCACTGAATGATCACTTTGCCTTCGTGAACGAGTAACTGGAACCCGCTCTTTCAAAGCTGTGCCGCCATCGGTGCATCTGAGTGTCGAGTAGAAAAATCGGGTATCTTGTGTAAAGGATGGCGGGTGCTAACTAGTTCGTTGAGAAGGTGGGCGGGAGGAGGGGAGGGATGGGTTTCACTTGGTCACACGCTCGTACTAGGTTTGCAATAGAATCGCGATTCACGCTTGCGCTGATGGTTGTCAGCGTGGCGATGTCCGCGCCTCTGCAATGACGATGGGCTTCAGGTAGGCGACAACAGGCAATGTGGAACAAAACAGCCATAAAGGTCTACAGTTTCGTAGCCTACGTGCAACCCGGTGCTCCATCGACAGGCTAACACGACTCAAGAAACGCCGCACCCATCGCCGCGCGCGGCGGAGCGGCAAATTACGATTCTCTTGCCCATCTCCCCTCCGTACTCCTTATTCTAATCAAGGGTTAGGCTTGTCGTCAGAAGAGACCAGGAATTATCTACGGAACTATCCCTAGGCAGCTCTGATCGTCTGCGCTCTAGTCCTAGGCCTTTTTGGGGAAGGGATACCGAGGCGCGCGGTCGAGTGGTCCCTCAACTACTATAGCATGTGCAAGAATAGCCCTTTTCCATCGATCTTTGCTTTCTCGTATTTCTTCAAGCTTGTATCCCCGTCTTCGCCATCGTCAGGTCTTCATCAGTCGCCGCGATGCGGGGTCGACCACCCTGGGGACCACTCAACCGATCTTTGCTTTCAAAATGTAAGAAACATATAGGTATTCGGTCCATTACAGCCAGTCGGCACGGAATCACATGCGTGACCACAACCACCATTAACGCGCCTTACGTAAATAACAAAGTGAAACCAGTAAGCAACTCATACGGTGTAATGGACGGAACTTTCCATTGATTGTGAAAAGGAGAAGAGAATCTGACTCACTTGAACGCTTTCCCCATGCAATCGTAGCACGTGTTGCATGGGGTTGTGGTGGGTGGCGGGTCGCATTGCAGGAAAATACATTGCGAGTGAACTCTGAAAGAATTTGGAATGATACCAAAGAAGAATCTCTCAACTGTTGCGATGTCCGCAGTTCTGGAGCGCCCCAGAACTAGCACTACATTCCCCTAAAATTTGTTGAGTCATACCTGTAACCCTTTGTGATATTTGGTTACGAATCGATGACAGTCTTGTTTGCTGCGTACGCTGGGGTGTTTCAGGGAGAGACGGGGTGGGGGGGGGGGAGGGGGGGTGCTAGGCTTTTTGGTGTGGATGCCAGAAGTCCACCACCAAAGTGTGCAGAAGATGACAGGCGATCACATTGGGGGAATACTGATTGGCGCCGTGCCGAACCTCACCACCCTGGCGCGCCCCAGCGTTCTGCGCGAACAGACTGCAGATACACTCCTACTTATCCCTGAGCCAGAGTAGGCGCGGCATTTGAACATGGCACAGAATTGGTTACTCGTGAAGTATTCCAATCTGGAACAACTGTCATCTTGTTCTGTGTTGGAAAAGAGACACGACAACAATTGTGTCAAGATGAAAATATCTCACCAGAAGCATAAACACCTTCAGGTTAAGTTGAAACATGCGGCCACGCCTATTCGATCTCAGGGTTTTCGAGTATGCCTTGGGCGTGACCTCGGCCGAAGATTATAAGGATTTGGAGTTTTTTTT